CTACATCAGGTGACAAACACAATCACAGCCATCTGTCTCACACAAATACAAACATGGCCATCTTTTCCAAAGTTATAGAACAAATTAAGTTTGTGAACTGAGGTATCATGGTACTGTGAACAATTTCATTCTTACATGTTTGACATCACAGATTAAACAGACCAATCCTACAAAGATACAATTAAAAAAAAAACTTGAATCAACAATTAATAACCTTGCAAAAGAGAAACATCAGCTCCTGATGGAGTCTCCAAAGGAAAAAAAAAAATGACCATAATCTCTTCCAGAAAACAGGAGGAAAGAGAATAATTCCATAATTTATTTATTGGACCAATATTACCCTACTCACACAAGGCAAAGATATTACAAGAAAAGAAAAATATTTATATCTCTGTACTAATTATTCCACATTGCTGGAACAAAATATCTGACACCCATAAGACAGTAGAAGTTTATTTTGGCTCACAGTTTCAGGGGGTTCAGTCCATGTTTGGCTGGCTCCATGTTGCAGACCACCCTGACCAAAGTCAGAGCAGGCTGTGATATGGAGCAGGCATTTTCTCCTCATAATTGGCTATAATGTACTCAGAGCTGGAACAAAGCCTATACGACTCACGGGAGCGTGTCAGATGGCACCAGGCAAGTATAGCTTCTGTACCACTGGTTGCCACGAAGGTCTAAGTCCTGATCTGTGAAGCTGCAGGGATCCTAGTGAGCTAACACTGCAGTCCAGGACCACATGGCTCCAATCCACATTCCATCCCCAGAGCTGCCATTCCTTAACTGTTTTCAGTAAATTACTAGCTAACCACAACCAACCTTTGGTCAGTTCTGCTCCTTCTGCAAGTATACCCAGTCTTCCTTTATACAAGCTTTGCCTGTGTCAGCTGATATCACCAGATGCCATGTAAGTCCCTCTACCCTAGTCTTACCCACATCTGTATAAGCAATAAATACTGACTGATCTGGTTGCTTGTGGTCCTTGCCACATGTTTGGCCTCATCACCACATGTTCAGAATGTCCCATCCCAATTCCCCAGTATCTGTTATCTTGTGTCACAATGCCTTGCAGGAATCTCTCAATCTTGTGATTGAGACTCTCAGCCTGGTCCTTGACAGCTCCAAGGTAGAAATGCCATGGTGGAATAACAGCACAGTACTCCACAGCAGTTAGGAAGCAGAGAACGAGAGAAGGAGCTGGGAACAATAATTCACCCTTCAACCAGACCCAACCTCTAAATACCACAGTCAGCTATGAACTTATCTACAGATAAGTACAGTGCTCCCAAGATCCAATCACCTTGAACAAGTCCTACTTTTGAGTACACAAGGCCTTTGGAGGACGTTCTCGATCTAAGCCATAAAATTCTACCCCTAGACCATAAAAAGAATCATGTACATCTCTTTATGTAAAATGTATTCAGTTAATTTCTACAAGTTGAGTAAGTTTTAACAATTTCAGCATTTGCTGAAAAGTTCAAGTCCAAAGCCTCGAGACTCAAGGCAAACTCTTAGCTGTGAGCCCCTATAAAAATCACAAAGTTAAACACTTTCAACATGCACTGGTACAAGGCAAACATTCTCATTCCAAAAGGAAGGAAGATGGGGATACAAAGAAAGCAGACCAAAGGGCCAGGGATTTAGCTCAGTGGTGCTGCTGCCTGCCTCACAAGCTCAAGGTCCTGAGTTCCATCCCCATGAAAGGAAGGAAGGAAGGAAAGAAAGGGAGAGGGAGAGGAAGAGAGAAAGAGGACCAAAGCATGAACAAAATCTAGCAGAGCAAATAATACATTCTTTAGTTCCTCTCCAATATCGAGGGCAGGATGTGGCGAGAGATGATCTGCAAAAGGCTTGGGCAGACCTGGTTAGCTTTGCTGGTAGTAATCCAAATGGCCTCTCTCTTTGTCTGGCTCCCTTTGCTGTCCTTAGTAGATGTTCTGTGTTCCTGGCATCTTCAACTTCCTGAGGGCTCTATTCCATTTTCAGTTGCACTCTCAGAGTTTACATATCTTCCTCTCATGTGTACTATGCCTGGCCTCCCAAGACTTCTTCTGATATCTGGGTGGAATCCTCTATGACCCCATAACTCTTTCATTCGCATATTTATAAAACCTGCACCAATGGATGACGTCAAGGTCTGCTACCAGCTTGACAGTAGCCAGAGACCCTTGGACCATGGCTGCAGTAGCCTCTTAAGTTCTCGGATGGCTGAGTATGGAGAAATGGATCCCAGAGAGCCAATTCCTCAATCAGTTCTTCTATAGCAGGGAGCCTAAGGACTCTGTCCTCAAAGGTTTATATTTTTGCATCTTTAAAGCTATAATAAGTGAGCACCATGACTGTTTCACAAGTGCAAGGTCATGAGTTCAATACCCAGTACCAAAAAAAAAAGCTACAATGGGTGAGGTCTTGCTGACTCCTGAAATGCCTTCAGACCATTTTTCCTATCATCATAATGCAAACAACGTGGCTTCTTTTTATTGCAAATCTTTTCATCAGCCATGTTTTTCTATTCCCCAACTTTGCAGATGCTTCCTTTCTGGTGAGACAGCAAAAATTTTAAGTCATTGTTATTGTTCTTTCTCCTGATTTTTACTATAGATTTGGCTAAAAGCAACCAGCAGTACGCATCCACAGCCTAAACACTGGGCTACCTTGAAATTTCTTCCACCAGATGAAGTAGTCCACTGCCCTTAATCTCAATCTCTGGCAAACTCTCAGGACATGGACAAATGTAAACAATTCTCGGGTCTTATTTTATTTATTTTTCAGGAGAACTAATGTAAGTTTTCACTCTTTATTCCTTGATACTTCTTTATTGCTTAGTTTATTGCTTAGTGTATGGTAAATCACACTCCTTAGGATTTTCTCCTAAGTACTTATTTCTGCTCATTTTCTATGGCTGCCACTTGATTTCTCTTCTTTTACTTAATAGTGAAATACCCCAGGGTATCTCTGGTATTCTTCTACCTATATTCATGCCCTTGGTAATCTTACCTAGTCTCATAATTGAAATACATCTTTAAACCACTATTTCTGTTTCAGATACCCCTCTTATAATATCTAGCATCATATATAGTATCTTATAATATATAGTATTTAATATCAGGCTCTCTTATAATATCTAGTAGACACACAAAATTCCAAGGCTCAAAACCAATCTCCTATTATCCCTCTAAACTTGCTCTACCACACATTACCTGTTATTTTTGGCTAAGGACATTTATTAAGCAGAAATAAGGTCCATCCTTCCTATCCTAAGGTATGGAATCATCCTTGCTTTGTCTCCCCACATCTGGTCCACCAATAAATGCAGTGTACTACATCCTCCAGATGTAGGTAGAATTTCAAGATGTCTTCACTTCCCTCAGTGCTACTACTCTGACCCAAGTCAGATTTATACCACATTTGGATCATTGCAGTAACTTCCCCTCTGGTCTCTCTGCTTGGATCTTCAACCCCCTACATCCTATTGTAAATGCAGCAACAGATTCTTTTAGCGCTTAATTTAGATGATATCACTCCTGTTCAAAATCCTATCATAATAAATCACCTTACTCAAAAGAAAAGCCAACTTTACCTATACTTTTTAAACCAATGCAATGTCAACATCATTTAAAAATTTTTTTTTCTTTGTTTAAGAAACACAAAAATAGGGCCAGGGATTTAGCTCAATGGTACCACCACCTGCCTTGCAAGTGCAAGATCCTGAGTTTGATCCCTAGTAACAAAAATGAATGAAAGGAAGAAAGAAAGAAAGAAAGAAGGAAGGAAAGACAGACACTAAATAAAGCATCAGAAATGGATTCCTAAGCCAGGCATGGTGGCATATGCTTGTAAACCCAGCACTCAAGAGGCTGAGGCAAGAGGACTGCCATGCATTTGAGGCCAGCTGGGGTTACACAGTGAGTTCAAGGCCATCTTCGGACTTCATAGCAACACAATGTCTCAAAAAAAAAAAAAAAAAGAAAAAAAAAAAAAATTCAAAAAAAAAAAAAAAAAGTAAGAAAGAAAAAATAAACTGATTCCTACAGTTCATCTTCCTAGTGTTTCTGATCTGTAAGTAAATTTTAACAAGTTACACAATAAAATAACAGCACAGTACAATTTGATACGTGTCTTTGTCTATTTGTTTATTATGATATTCTTTATCTAACCCCTACACTCTTTCTCTGCTGAATTAAAAAACCACACAAATTTTTATTGGTATAAGAAATTACAAGCTGGGTGTGGTAGCCGACACCTATAGTCCCAGCACTCAAGAGGCTGAGGCAGGAAGATCAACATGAGTTTGAAGCCAGCCTGAGCTACATAGTGTGTTCAAGGTCACCCTGAACTACATAGCAAGGCCCTGCCTGAAAAAAGAAAAAAGAAATTACAAAGTTTGGGAAGTACTACCTAGAAGGATTTAATGAGCATGTACTATATTAAAAACTCAGTAAGCATAGAGAAAGGAATTTATATTGGCTGTAGTACTAGACTCACATCCCTCAATATCAGTAGTGACTGACACTAATGTTCTAAGACTCTGATCCTCTAGTTTCGATAACAATAGTGCCCATTTCATAGAAGTATGAAAACTAAATGTGATGACACCTATAACACACAGAACCATAATAGCTACCTATGATTTAAGTTAATACAACAATATATAATAATACATGGTGAGAGAAAGAATAGGAAGAAGGTCAGTAGAAGCAGACCACCCTCATGCAGAGAAGTATTTTATTTTCTTGCATTGTTTAAAATTTTTTATTACAGTATTAATAAAATGCTTTTCATTATTTGCATTACTGTTTTTAAATTTGCAGCAGACTATACACTCTTTTTCTGCCTTATCAAGGCACTAGAGCAAAAAATCATTTCCCACAGATATTCATTTATATTAACTGTCTTATTAGGCATAGCGTATGACAGGAACTCAGAAGACAATATCAGTATGATCATCATGTATTATGAAATTAACCATGATTATTTGGAAAACAAAAATATTTACTTACCTTTCTTAAATTTATGTACAGGGAGTTTCTTAAGTTGATCTTTACCAAGTCTATTTCTTCTAGCTCTATGTCTATCCTGGACAAACTTTGTGATCTAAAAATAAAAGAGAAAAAAGGTATCAGATATTAAACATGTAAATAAAAATCAATCAAATATTTTAAATTTCTAGATAGCTGCTGTCAACCAATTTAATTTACTTAAATCCTAATCATAATTGGGTTATTAAAGCATTAAATTAAAAGTGATTAGTTAACACATATTATCCTTTCAATTTTTTTATTCAATGACCTTGATTATCTTTCATTTACTGATAGGAGACAATATAAATTTCATATAACTGTTTGTAAAACAAAAATAAAATGTTCCAGTTACCAAGACTCCAATGGGCCAAAGAGAACAGGAAGTTGAGATTTATTTAAGTTTAAAAACTAATAAAATTTTCAAACACACACAATATTTATTGTACTTTCAGTTAGCAGTATAACAGACAGAGTTAAGGCAAAATACTTCTATAAACCAGCCGCCATCGCTCAAGGGCTGGGAGGAAGCCTGGGTCCCAATCCACCACGGGAAGGAGAGCCACGCCTGCTCCCGACCCAGCCACCATCACTCCAGCGCTGGGAGGAAGCCTGGGTCCCGATCCACCGCGGGAAGGAGAGCCACGCCTGCTCCCAACCCAGCCGCCATCACTCAAGCACCAGGAAGTTAGCCCCGTGGGCACCCCTGAGCCCCTATAAGCCCCCCCCACTCTCAGTCCTCCTGACTGTGCCAGTCTTTGGACCCACTCTGCAGAGGCAGAGGTGGTCATCAGGGGTATTTTTCTAAGTTCCCAACTTTGAATATCTTTAAAGAAAGGGCGTGGGAAACCTGTAATAGAACCTTGCGGAGTTCAACCATTCAGAAGGTTGGGGAACTCAATCTGGGCCTTGCAGCCCGAAGTCAGTCAGCGTCATGGGGTTCAGCCATCAGCTAACTGAGATCAGGGGTCTTGCATCCTCGCTCTGTCTGAGTCATTAAATGGTAAATACACTATATTGAAATTATGTTCACTGCAGACATGTTCTGGACTGCTTCTTGATTTCAATTTAATTCAAATGATTTAAGGGTGATAGACTAGTGACTACCACAGGTGGTCAGTGTCCAAGTTGTGCTTGATCTTAATGTGTTGCTGATTGTATCAGTTGGGGTAAAGCATTGCGGTTGATTTGATGAGCTCTTTTCTCTGATGTTATGAAGATGAGAATGTCCGTGGGTCGTTAGAGACACAGAAGCTACGGCGCAACTATATCAGGAATATTTGGGTGATAATCCAGAGATTAAACCAAGGACAGTCCGACAACAAAAATAAAAATGAGAAAACACTTAAGCAAGACACAAAGACAGACTTCCAGTTCACCAATGGCAAACAGTAGGGCAAATGAGGACGAAAAGGCCGATACTGAACCACCAGGACACCCTGAACTCAAAGCACAGGAAGTAACAAAACAGATCAATCAGGCTCTAGAAAAATTCAAAACAGAAATTATTTCCCAGATAACCATAGAGATAGTGAGCAAAATGGAAGTCGTGATTCGAGACTCTAGAGCAGAAACTGACAAAAAAACAGATGAGCTCAGGACCATGATAGAAGCCATGAAGGCCCAGCATAACAAAGAAATGGAAAAAATAAACGCCCAACATAGGAGAGAAATGGAATCCATAAAACAGATTCAAACAGATATCCAGGAGATTAAACACTCCATTGAAAGTGTACGCAACAGAATAAAAGAATGCGAAGATAGACTCTCAGATATAGAAGATAAGATTGCAGTCAGTGACCATGAAAAGAGAGGTCTCTTAAAAACAGTAAGAGATCATGATAAATCGATCAAACAACTCCTAAATGATACAAAGAAGAATAACATAAGGCTGATAGGAATACATGAAGTAGCAGGAGAAAATACAAATGACTTTAAAAAGCTGTTCAAACAATTAATGACAGAAAACTTCCCAAACAGAGGGGAAGAATTTGACATTCAGATAACTGAGGCATATAGAACCCCAACTAGCTACAATCAAAAAAAATCTACACCTAGATATATAATAATCAAGATCCCAGAAACCCAACAGAAGAACAAAATACTACAAGCAGTAAGAGAAAAGAAAGAAATCACATACAAAGGAAAGCCCATCAGAATCACAGCAGACTTCTCAAAACAAACCCTTGAGGCAAGGAGAGCCTGGAATAAGATATTTCAAGTACTAAAAGTGAACAACCTCCAACCTAGACTGATGTATCCAGCAAAACTCTCTTTCAAAATGGATGGGGAAATAAGACACTTCCACGACAAAGAACACCTGAGAAACTACATGAATACCAAACCACCACTACAAGCAATTCTAAACAAGATCCTAGAAAAAGACAATGAAGGCAACAACACTATGAGGCCCAACAGAGAAAATCAAATAGGCAAGGCAAGAAACTAAAAGGAGAAGGTGAAAAAGTAAAAAGAGTCAACAAAAGGCCAATAACATGTCAATAATAAGTCAGTACATATCAGTTATAACCAGCAATGCCAATGACCTCAACTCACCAATCAAGAGAAATAGACTGGCAAAATGGAATAAGAAGCAAAATCCAACAATATGTTGTATACAAGAAACACACCTAGTGCAAAAAGAAGCCCATAGACTGAAAGTGAAAAGATAGAAAATAATTCTCCATGTGACAGGAGCCCAGATGACAGTACTGTATCATACCTCTATGAATGTAAAATATCTAGTACCTGCTTTATGATACATAGTAGGGATCATGCTTTATCAGAGCTACATTTAATGATATTACTCTAGAATGTTCTCTTTACAGATGATGATTAAGATGCTAATAGAAAAAATGGTCCCAGGTACCACAACAGCAACACAACTTTGCTGTTTTCTGGATATTATTTTCTTTGTTTTTTTGTTTTGTTTTGTTTTTAATGGAATGTGCTGAATGTCTATAATTTTGTTCAGATGACTGCAGAACCTGGAAAAGCTGTTGCTGCCATCGATGTATTATTAGTCTTTTTATATAAATATAAATATATATATACATATATATAAATTGAATTTTGGGAAACTTTAACGGTGCTGCCAACTTTGGAAAAAGTCATTCCAATTTACTCTGTTGAGTTGGCATTGTACAGAAATGGACAGCCATATTGGTCTAGAAATGTGAATTTATTTTTATTTTTATTTTTTTCCATGTGTACAGGGGTAACACATAATACTAAATACGTAAGGTCATATCTACATGGGTTTGATTACAGAAACTAATAAAGTATTCTCTAAATAATGAAAAAAGAATAAGATAAGACTATAAGAGCAAGAAGCAATTTAAATATGTTTGGGGACCATTTTCATCTCCAGAATTAAGGACTATTTTAATGTTACATCATTGCCTTTTCTCTTTTACTTTCCTTTTTAGTTTTATTTTAGAGTTCCCTATTTTTAATGTTCATACAGAGATTTCTTTAACTGAAATACCAAATAGTTTCTTTGGTGCAAAAACTATAACAGTACATAGGATCCTAATGAGATAATTAATAATGTGAAATAGGAAGTAAAGGGTTAAAGGTGTAGGGAAAGTGGGAAGGGTGGGGGAAAGGTAATAAGGGAGAGGAAAAAAATAAGAGAAACTGAAAAAATGGAAATAAAGTGTTTGTAAATGGGGAGGGGAGAAGGGGGTGAAGTGAGGGCAGGGACAAGGGGAAAAAATGAGAATCAAGAATATTATTAAAGGTACAAGATCCCAATGATGAATGTAACTGTATTGTATACCTAGATTGTACCAATAAACTCAGTTTTAAAAAAATACTTCTATAAATATTCAAATAAATGTCAAATAAAATATACAAAACATTTTAAAGTATAAACTGCTGGGCTTGAAAGAATGAAAGTGAAAAGTCCATAGCACTTGAACTGAATACCAAAAATGCCATCCATAAAAGATAAATTTAACAAAGTTGATTATATCATAGTTAAGAACTATCTAACACTCTTAGAGGCTGTGGCAGGTGGACTACAAGAGCAAGCCTAGTCTGAGAAACTTAGCAGAAAGAACCAGCCTTAAAAAAGAAAACAGAAGGGCCAAGGATTTATCTCAGGGGTTTCAACGCCTGCCTCACAAGCTCAAGGTCCTGAGTTTGATTCCTGTTACTAAAAAAGAAAAAAAAAAAAGAATGTAGGAGTTAGGATGTAGCTTAGTATGAATGTCCTGGGTTCAAAGTTCAGTACTGAATTGAAAAAAAAAATAAAAAAAAAAAAAAAAAAAAAAAAAAAAAAAGCTAAGAACTTCTATCCTCAAAAGATACTATCAGGAAAAATATATGAAAATAAAAACAAAAATAATACCATTTTTAAAAAAAAGATACTTGAAAGACAAGCCACAAATTAGGAGAAGATATTGCCAGATTACGTGATAAATTAATTTCTATTCAGAATGAAGAATGCTCAAAACTCAATAAAAAAGCAATCCTATTAAAAATAACTGAATAGATAACTTTACCACAGCAAGCAGACATAAAGATAGCAAGTAAGCACATAAAGAGATGCTCAACATCATTAGTCAAGAGGAAAACACAAACTGAAATCATAATTAAATACCACTACATACCTATTAGAATAACTATAGTTAAAAAGACTGACAAGTGTGGACATGGAAACGGAGGAACTGCAACTTTCAGGCACTACATAGCAAGAATGTAAAATTGGTACAGCCATTCTGAAAATCACTTTGGCAGTTTATTACAAAATGTAAAACGGACATCATTTGGCATGATCATCCCACTCCTAAATAAACTTATCCAGCTCAAATAAAGTACTGTATATGTGCACACAACTTGCACGTAAATGTCTACATCATCTTCATTTGTACCAATTAAACCTAAAACACACACACGCACACACGTATATACACAAATGTCTATCAACAGGTTAATGGACAAAATTTGATATAATCATACAGTGGAATACAACTTGGAAATAAAAGGATTTAATAATCAGTACAATCAGCGATTTATATGAATTTCAATTATACTAAGAAGTCAGACACAAAAGAGTACATACTTTACAATTCTGCTTATACAGAGCTGTAGAAAAGCTAGTCTACAATAAACAAAATCAGATTTTTAACTGGAGATAGGGGAAAGAGGGACACAGAAGAGTAATTGGAAAGACAAAAGGGGAGGGATTACTAAAGAACATTAGGAAACATTTGGAGGTGATGAACATTTAATTACGTTTACTATGGTGGCAACAGTTTCATTGGTGTGTATGTGTGTGTGTGTACATATCAAAACTTCTATTGTACAATTTAAATACATATAGTTTATATGTCAATCATATCTCAATAAATTTTAAAAGTTTAATAGTGACCATTAAAGATAGCAATATAGCATAATCATAAATATAAGAAAAAGAAAGTAGTCAGGGATTTAGTGCCTTGCAAGCAAGTGCCAACTGGTTTTCAACACTGGTGCTAAGAGCATACACTTGAAACAGAGCAGTCTTTTCAATAAATGGAGTTGGAAAAATTGGGTAACTATATGCAGAAAAATAAAGCTAGATCATCTCTCACCAGTTCCTGCTATGATTTCAATTAATAAACTTTTTATACCTTTGAACTGTCTTCTAATTTTTTGTTAATTTCTACAATTTTGATACTGCTCTTTGTGTCATCCAGTAACTTTATTTTATCATTACTAGGGTATCATTGAGTTTATAATCTACTATATCCACCTTGTCTTCAACTTATGATATTCTGTCTTCACATTGGTCAAATCTTCAAGCCATGCTTGTATTAAATTTTTCATATCTTCTATTTCTGCTTACTTTGTTTTCATAAGCTCTAGTTTATTCTTTCTTTTTTAAGCTCATCAAACATTTTATTAGTAAAACCCTTTATCTGGTTAATAAAATTCCCCTTAAGCTCACTAAACACCTTGTGAAATTTCTTATGTGTTTCTTCTTTAAGCTCTTCAAACATTTTGACCATTTGGTTTTTGAGTTCTTTATCTGTAAATTCCTCTGCTTCGGTGTCTGTGGGATTAGCTTTTGAGGAGCTAAGGATTTTTAGAGGCATCTTGTTGCTGTGGCTTCTCATATGTCTACTGTTTTTGTGCTGCATGCTTAATATCAGTTAGATTAAAGAAACTCTGTCTCTTCTGTATAGATCTCTCCAGTTAGAATCCACCCACAGAAGATTAACTAGACCCATATATTTTACCCTGCAATACAATAAAATCAAAAGGATCAAAGACCTAGATATTAAAACAGAAGTGCTGAATCTTCTGGAATACAAAATAGGTAAAAATCTTGAAGACACAGGCATAAGCAAGGATCTTCTGAACAGAGCTCCAATTGTACAAGAAATAACACCAAGAATCAACAAATGGGGTTATATCAAATTAAAGAGCTTCTAGGGGAAGAGGGGGTGAAGGGAGGGCAGAGGTAAGGGGAAAAAATGAGAATCAAGACTTGTCATGTAGAGGTACAAGATCCCAACAATGAATGTAACTGTACTGTATCCCTAAAATGTACCAATAAACTCAATTAAAGCTGAAAAAAATATTTTTTAAAAAAAAGAGCTTCTACACAGCAAAGGAAATTAACAGAAGAAAATACAACCTACAGAATGGGAAAAAATTTGCCAGTTATTCTTCCAACAGATGACTAGAGCCTTTAATATATAAAGAGCGCAAAGGGCCAGGGATTTAGCTCAGTGGTTCTGCCGCCTGCCTCACAAGCGCAAGGACCAGAGTTTGATCCCTGATACCAAAAAAACAAAAACAAAAAACAGAAGGAAGTTAGCAAACTTTTAGGGCTAGGGATTTTGCTCAGTGGTTCCACTGCCTGCCTTGCAAGAACAAGGTCCAGAGTTCAATCCCTGGTACCCACCCCCCAAAAAACAGCACTCACAAAAATTAGATCTTCCAAAATAAAAAACCCAACCAAAACCTGGCCAATTAAAATGAATAGACACTTCTCAGTAGAAGAAGTATAAGTACCCAATAAGTACATGAAAAAATGTTCAGCATCTTTGACCATTAGAGAAATGCTAAGTAAAACAATACTGTTTCCATTTTACTCCGTAAACAACAGCCACCATCAAGAAATCAAATAATAATACATGTTGGCAAAGCTGTGGGGAAAAAGGAACCCTTCTACATTGTTGGTAAGAATTTAAACTAGTAAAACCATTATGAAAATCAGTTGGAAGGGCCAGGGATTTGGCTCAGTGGTTCCACCGCCTGCCATGCAAGCGCAAGGACCTGAGTTCCATCCCTGGTACCAAAAAAAAAAAAAAAAAAAAAAAAAAAAGAAAAAAGAAAATCAGTTGGAGATCCCTCAAAAAACTAAGAATAGTTACTCCAAAAAACTAAGAATAGTAACTAAGGAAAGTAACCCAGCTATATCTATTCTACATATTTTCTCAAAAGAGCTAAAGATATCATATCATAGTAATATATACATACTCATATTTATAGCAATACAACTCATAATAGCTAAATCTTAGAAATATATGCCCATCAAAAGTTTAATGGATGAAGAAAATATGGTATTATACACAATGGAGTACTACTCATTCACACAGAAAGATAAACTTGAGTCATTTGTAGGAAACTTGACGAACCTTGAGACCAGAATGCTAAGTGAAATGAATCAAACATACATTGCATGGTTTCTCTTATGTGAGAAACCCAAAGTATAAACAATATAAAGAGAAAAATTAAATATAATAAGAAACAGGGTGTTAGAGGGAAAGACGATCTAGAGACTGAAGGAAAGGAGAGAGAAGGGAGAGGATGGGTAAGGAAAATGAAGGTGCCGTGTGTACATGTACCCATTCCTACAGTGAATGTATTCAGTATGCACTGCAAACATGTACTAAAAAATTAATGTTAAATGAAAGAACTTAAAAGCAATATTCCCTTTAAAAATATCTAGTTACTGCAGAATTTTAGCTTCTTCATTATTTTGAATTGCAAGATGTTGTGTTAATTAAACAAATGCAAGCACCCCGAACATTATTTTAATTACTCAGAATTAGTAAATTCCTGTTGAATTTTTAAAATGAAATAAATAGACAAAAACAAACACGAAGCTTCAGGCAAGAGTACACTCCCTCAAAATTCTACAGCACGTGCATCATTAGTCCAGAGTTTAGTGGGGCGTTTCTTTATAGTTCTTTTGTTTTCTATTGAGGTAGAATTTATTTTATTTTTATTTTTTTGTGGAACTGGGGATCGAACTCGACTCCTTGTGCTTGCAAGGCAGGCCACCGAACTGCTGAGCTAAATCCCCGGCTGAGGTAGAATTTATATACAATTAAATACATAAAGCTTAAGTATACAGTTTGATGGATTCAGACAAATGCCATACATTTATACAACTCCAAGCTCTGCCACAATACAGAACACGAGTGTCACCCTCAAAAGTTCTCATCCTTTCCACCAAATCCCTCACCTCCTCCTAGCCCCACAGAAATCATTCTTCTGATTTATTTTCTACTCTATCATTTTTGCTTTTTCCAGAACTTCATATAAATGGACACATACAATATATACTCTTTCCTATAAGGCTTCTCTCACCCAATAAGCTGTTTTTTAGATACATCCATACTTTTTTTTCCACTTATAAAAGTTAATTTACTTACCATAAAAATGACTATTAGGATGAGACATATGCCCACTATAATGAGGAAGGGGATTAGATAGTATTCCAGAGGAAGATTAAAGTCTGGAACTAAGATAACGTGGCCCCTAGAAGAGAACAAAAAGAGTTGCCCAATTATGATATTCACTAAAAGCAAAAATAAAATTTTTAAAAAGATATGCAAACATTAGAATTCAATCCACTATACACATCTCAGTTTGCAACATTACCTTTCAATAATTTAACAAATGTTCTTTATATCAAGTTTATTTATTTCAAAATAACCTGCAAGTATAATTAAAACATACTCTTAACTTGGTAAATTAAAGAAAACCAAATATTACTATTTCTTAGACATTATTTACTGAATCATATAATCTAGGAAAAATTATATTGAATATACAACATTAACATAAAAAACAATGTTAATGCCTTGATAGCGTGTCAACAAGAACTCCCACCGCAACCAAATTACTGTTTATCTCTTCCTTCTAGAGAAAACCTTTAGAGCCGTTACTTATTTTTTAAAAAATCCTTTTTTCCTATGTGTTTTACATGTACCTGATGTACCAATAAACAAGAGCCTCTATATCCTACATTATCTGTGAGATACGGAATTAAAAACTGGTCGAGAAATTCACAAGAGTTGTTTCTCCTCTATCTCCATGCTCTCTACTGCTTCCCTGAAATAAACTACAGAAATACATACATTGCGAAGGGGGAAGTAATGCCTTATTTCCATTTGTTACTAGACATTCATTAGTAATTATGACATTACTATCACAAAAATTGATGGAAATCTATAAAATAAAAACTTCTATCAAAATAAGTAAACTACATTACATGGACAAATTTTATATGGCATCAAATTTTATTTTCCAAATCTCTTTAAGGGAGGATCTGTAAAATATTCAGTAATATGACTGATCTAGTAAGTCTACTATTCTACAAGACTAGTAAGATATCAGCAACCCTATTCTGAGATCCACTGGTGGTGATTTTTTTAAAGTAGTCAAGCCAGGTATTTCATAATACAAACATTCAAGGTAAAATAATAATTTAGAAGGAAAAGCAAAATAGAAACATATGACTTCTCCCATAATAGAGGTGCACAGAATTCCACAGTACTTAAGAAAAATAACAGAAAAGCAAATTATTTCTATTCCCAAGCTGTTTCTAAATGTTCAGGCTATTATTTATTAATCTTACATCCAAGGAGCTCTATCAATGTTCATCAAAAACACACAAGGTAATTAATACCAGCAACTTCTCTCTAGTAAAATATACTCCCCAAACTTATAAGATTGCTTGAATACAGATGGTCCTTTTATATCAGTGGCTTTCTAGCAGAATGGTAGATAATAAAGGATTTCACATGCAATTTTTACAGCGTTTTTAAAATACTGAAGGGACTGATGTATCACCAATATACAAAAGGGAAAGTAGCAGCAGGCCTGGGCTTATCTATTGATACCATCTCTTCCAGCAAGAGGCCAGCTCTCTAAATACATCCCAATTCCTAACACAAAATCTCTGAAACCACCCTGAGCCAATGGCACCACTTCTAAAGTATAATGCCCAATCTGTGAGATGCTAATTCTCTGTAAATTCCCTACTTCATTTCAACCAGTGTGTGATAAATCAACATTGCTGAGATTTAGGAGCCAGATTACTGCATAACCTGAATTTAATGAATAGTAGATTCATAATATCTCAGAAATAGAAAAAGCTTGTATCTCTTATAGTCTGTTTTTTTTCCTCTCTTTTTATGTTTATGACTTCCTAAGATACACTCAGTCTATACAAATTAAACAAACGCTATCCTGTGAGACAAATCCAGGATTGCTCAGAAATGAACAGAACTGCTAGATGAGAAGAAACAAGCAAAAGGAACAAATCAGGAAGTCTCCATGAATTAGAAATTAACACTATTTAAGAGAAATCTCCTGTGTATTTATAATTATAAAAGTGGCATCAATTCCAGAATTTTCCAGAAGCACTGTTAGAATTTACTGGCCTGATTCATAAATCATTGTTCTACATGACCTGTTAATGCCTGTCTGGCTTGCCTGCTGTATTTCAAATCATTTTAGTTTACTGTCAAGATACGTTAGCAGGATATAAATGGCTTACAATTGATAAAAGATTTTAAATATCTTGAATTAAAAGCCCAGTGCACTTTCACTTAACCAAATTGCTAATGGTAGACAGAGAGTGAGAGTGCTGATAAGAGGGTGGAGAACTACAGAAGAGTAGCAGTCCTTTGACTTCATTTCCATTTCTTCTGCCTGGTGAAGCTGACTGTTAAAGTCCTTTAGAAGGATAAATTAGAGCCCTCACACATGGTTCGTCAGAATATAAAATGGTGCCAGGAACTTTGGAAAAAGATTTGGTAGTTTCTCAGAGAGTTAAACATAGTTACTTTATAACCTTACATTCTAGGTATATAATCAAGAAAAATAAAAATATGCACATCTAAAAGCTTGTTTGTAAATGTTTATATTAGCCAAAATGCTGTGGAAAACAACCATATGTCTATCAACTGATGAGTGGATAAGCAAAATGAACTATATCCATATAATGGAATATTATTCAGCAATAAAAATAATAAAACACCAATATATGCTACAAGATGGTGAGCCTTGAAAACATTATTTAAAAAACAAGCACTATAAATACAATGAAAATATCAAAATAAAAAAATTTGTAGTATATCACAAATTCATAGCACAATAGAAAAGATGACCAATAACCTAAAAGAAAAAAATAGGCTATAGATAAGAGTTCATAGCTCTTAAGTATCAAAAATCTGCCCATACTTGCTTATAATAAGAGAAATACACATGAAATGTAGTAGGACAGCATGTCTCACCTATCTAACAACATTCTTTGTTGAGGCAGTGAGATAACAGACATGATCATATATTAAGGCACAACCCTTACGCACGGGAATTTAACAATATCCAGCAATGATGGATATACATTTAACTTTTAAACTTCTAGAAATCTATTCCAAAAGTATACTGGCCAAACATGAAAAGACCATCTGTATGGTTATTCACTGTAACCCTTCTTAAAATAGAAAGAGAAATGTAAACAATTCAAATATCTATTCATGGGGCACTGTTTGATTAATAGGCCTATCCACAAAATGGAGTTCTACGCAGACATAAAAATGGAAATAAAGGGTTTGTAAATGGAGAGGGGATGAGGGGGTAAAGGGAGGGCAGGGACAAGGGGAAAAAATGAGAACCAAGACCTGTCATGTAAAGGTACAAGATCCCAATAATGAATGTATGTAAGGACTGCATACTGAGTTCTACGCAGACATAAAAATGGAAATAAAGGGTTTGTAAATGGAGAGGGGATGAGGGGGTAAAGGGAGGGCAGGGACAAGGGGAAAAAATGAGAACCAAGACCTGTCATGTAAAGGTACAAGATCCCAATAATGAATGTATGTAACTGGACTGCATACCTCAAATGTACTAATAAACTCAATAAAAAGAAAAAAAAATTAAGAGTATCTGTCAACTTATACAGTGTCACCTGCTGGATATACTGTAAGTCAAAGCAGGACACGGAATAATGTTTACATATATGGGTAAAAGATGAGGTAAAAGAGGTATATTTTTGGCAGTAATTATAATGCATTAAAAATATTTTTATTAGTTGTTACTTATAAGGTAAGGATGGGAACAAGATGTGCAAGGAATGACACTTACAATCTGTATTTCTTTTAATATAATTTGTTTTGCTGATTTTGAATTCTGTTTGTATAGAACTATAAAAGTCACAATTGAGCTGGGTGAGGTAGTACACACCTGTAGCACTCTAGAAGGCTGAGGCAAGAGGATTGCAAGTTTGGGTGCCCCTGGGCAATTTAATGAGACCCCGTCTCAACATAAAAAATAAAAAGGGCAGGGGATTTGTTTACTGTGAAGGTCCCAGAATCAATCCCCAATACCAAACCAAACAACAACAACAAAAATTTTAAGTGGCAGGAGGGATCTTGCTCTCTGTATTATAAAAACAAATGAAATCAAATAAACTTGTGTTTCCAGTTGAAAGCATCAATACACAGAGATATATTTCATGTGTCTTTTCTTTTTTATTTTGGGGGTGTTTCTTTTCTAGTATTGGGGATTAAATTCAGGGCCTTATGTGTATGTATGCGTAGAGTTCGCAATTCTTGAACTGACATAAAAAAGTATTCATAAATTCACTGCAGTTACGTGAATCTGCTTGATCATACTGCCTCAAATCATATTTTGAATGTTACTGAACTTTTTTGTTGTTGTTGTTTGTTTTTTCAGACAGGGTCTCACTATGTAGTTGAGATTGACCTGGAACTCACTATGTAGCCCAGGCTGGTCTCGAACTCAAAGCAATCCTCCTGCCTCAGCCTCCCAAGCTCTGGGATTACAGGCATGTGCCACCATGCCTGGCTGAACTTTTAAAATTCTAAACATTTTTCAATTCCCCTTTTTTTTTTTTCTGTTTTTTTACTGCAGCATCTTATTCAGTCTATGAAGCACAGTTTGAAACAAAAATGTCAGTACATTCTCAGAACATCAGCGTTTCATTTAATATTTTCTCTATAGGCACCAATTGTTACAAAAATCAGAAAAATAGGGCTAGGGATTTAGCTCAGTGGTTCTGCTGCCTGCCTTGCAACCTCAAGGACCTGAGTTCGATCCCCAATACAAAAAAAAAAAAAAAAAACAGAAAAGTAAAAATTCATCACAATTTGCACAACATAACCACAAGTTGCTAATCAAAAGCTAATTTCTATAAAACCATGAACTTAATGCTATTTAGAGATTAAAAATTCTGTTAACTGGATATATATGTATATATGTGTATGTGTGTGTACACATTTTAAAGCAGAAAACCCCCAAAACAAGGGAAAACATCAAAATAGTGAAATATCTTGACCAGACAGTGACTATAAATACTATAAACACTAACCTCACTACGTATAAAGGAAACCGTTATCTGCGGTAAAAACTCTAGTAACCAGGTAGGAAATGCGGAGTGCAAACGCATCCACCAGGTAAGCCTGTTCTTATCACGCTCATGGCTGTGGTCGGTGTCTCTAAGCAAGGGCCCCTAATGCCCCACAGCTCTATGTGACACAACCAACACCCTCACAGGGCAAGTAGCAGATTCCACCAAAAGACACCCAAAGGGACGGGTTCTTCCTAGAAGTCACTGTGCCAATCTGGGGCCTTACACGGGGAGTGGCCAGGTCATCTGTGTTTCTACAGGGAACAAGCAAGCTTGTCAGGCGTGGAGACGTGAGTAGGCACCTAATCCAGCACCCTGAGCCATCTTGATATAATTCAGCTTACAAAAGAAAAAAACAATTTCTAGTGACCATATATTACAAAAAATTGAGACTGGGGTCAGAAAAACGAAACCCCGAACGTGTCATTTTCCAGTTCTTTAATATATGTATCTCAAAGATGGGATAAAAGATTTTGTGAACTTGTACTAACGTGAAAAGATTCACATTAAGTAAATAAAGCAACTTATAAAATCATATATATCATTCCATTTTATGTACATATGACCAATAATTAATGTGAATAATCACACACAGGAAAACTAGAGGCTTATAATAGCTGCACTAGAGAATGGAATCATTGGGACTTTCACTTCAAATATTTTCTATTTCTGAAGTTTTACATATTTTAACAGCATGTATTACTTTTTAATGTAAAACGGTATGATTTTTACAGTTAAAATAAAAAAGATTCAAGTGGATTTTTTTCCTAATAAAGATAATATTGA